CCTTTCTTCCCCATACTGATGCTCGGTTTGAACTGCAGGAGATTGTCTTGACCATGTCTACATGCCTAAATGCACTGAGTTGCCACCATGTGATTGGCTGATTAGAAATTAAGTGTTAACGAGCAGTTGGACAGGTGTACCTAATAAAGTGGCCGGTGAGTGTATTTGCTGCAGCAAAGCGGAAAGACATGAGGCCAAAGGAAGACATGGTTTTTAGGATTTTCAGTCTAATAAGGTGGGAGGAACGAGTATTGTACCTTGGGGGGGGGTTCTCGTTGAAGTAACTGATTTAAACAGGGAGGTGAAAGACCTAGCAGGGTTTTGTAAATGAACAAGAGACAATGGGCATTGCGGCGAGACTGCAAGGAAAGCCAATTCACTTGAGAGTACAGACAGTCGTGAGTTTTATACGGAGCATTTATAACAAACTGAATAGCAGAATGGTAGATTGAATCCAATTTTTGAAGACTTCCCTTGCAAGCATGGCAATAAATTATGTCACCATAATCAAACAAAGGAAGGATACACATTTCAACAATGACCTTTTTAGCTGAGGATGTGAAAGATGAACGGTTTCTGTACAGGAAGCCAAGTTTTGATTTGACCTTAGTTTGCAGCGTAGTAATATGGTGACGGAAGGACAAAGAACTGTCTAACCAGATTCCCAAGTATGTATTCTGTCACCTGCTCAAGGATCATTCCAGTGAGGTTATGTAACTGTGTGCGACTGAAAATGTCCCTTAAACCAATGATCCAGGCAGTGGTGGCTCTAGGATAAGGATGAGGGGCAACAATATTACGGTAAAAGAGAGGACAAGTTCAAAATCCTTTCACACAAATACCCAGTTGTACATTTACCCAGTCACACATTGAAACATCTTTTAATGTAACGTACTTTAAAAAAAAGCTTGCACAGTGTATTATCCTTATCAGTTTTACATGCATTTTAATGCAGCATGTGAGAAAATCCAGCCACTTGTTGTCAGACTTTTTGCAGGATTGTTCAAATTGTCTTTTTAAAAAAGACTTTTGTTATCATGATGCTGGACTGTCTTATTTAGCGCCACTAGTGTAGTTTTGATTTTCTTTTTTAAAAAGAGATAACTTTCTAATTGCTGTTTATCCGAGGATATACAGTATTTAACAAATACYGAGACCTGAAGGTAGATCATTTGTACTTACTGTTTTCTGTTGTGCAAAATATAATATTTAAAAGAGGCTGAACCCCCTTTGATTTTCAAACAAAATGTAAGAAAAAGAGTAATTTCAGTTTTGAACATGTCACCTGTTTATTTATTCAATTGTTTTTCTAACACAAACCAAGAAAAGTGCACATTCACAGTTTGCTTTTAATAGTTTAATTTTGATTGCAAATGTGCTTATAAATTTATGAAGGATTTTTTTTAAATCTAACAAACAATTCTCAACATTGAGATGATTGTTT